TCCATGCTTTAACTTTCAGTCTATTAATTTCTTTTTTAATTAAGTGTATTTCTTGTATGCAGCGTATTATTGGATCTTGTTTCTTGACCCATTCTGCCAGTCTATTTCTTTTGATTGGTGAATTGAGACTATTAACGCTGATGGCTATAACTGATATGTATTGATGTATCCTTGTCATGACTTTTTCTTTTTGTTGGATTCTCCCCCTTTGCATTTAATTTTTTGTTGTGACTGATGGATTCATTCTGCTGGGCTGCCTGTGAGAACTGGGCTGCCTGAGATTGTGATCCTCATTGTCTTTTCCCAGGATACTGTTTAAAATTACTTGGAGTGCTGGTTTTAGTATTCATGAAGTTCCTAAAGTGCTCTTTGCCATGAAAGCATCTCATTTCTCCATCAGTTTTTAAAGATAGTTTTGTAGGGTACATCAATGTAGATTGGAGGCTGTTTTCCTTTTGGGATTGAAGTATTTCACTTCATGCTCTTCTTGCCATTTGGGTTTGTGTTGAGAAGCCTGCTGTGATTCTGATGCGCTTTCCTTTGCATGTGATTTTTTTCTTTTCTTTAACTACCTGTAGAATTTTGTTCTTCTGTTGGGTTTTTGGAATCTTAACTATTATATGTCTATGTGTAGTTTTTTGTTTGTTTGTTTGTTTTTTTACCACTGCTAGTTGGAGTCCTGTAAGCCTCACTTATGTGGATGTCAGTTTCTTTTCCCCTATTTGGAAGTTTTCTACTATTATTTCTGTGAATATTTTTTTTAATGTCATCTTCACTCATTCCTGTTTCTTCATTGACTCCAATCAATGTTATGTTATGTTATTCTTCTCTGAATCTTCTAGCAGTTGCTGGATTAATTTCTCATGGTCCCTTACTCCTTTTAAGAGATTTTTCTTTTCCTGGTCACTAATTGGAACCTATCACCTATATCTGAAATTCTGTCCTTACATTGGCTCATTCTGCTGTGTAAACTTTTAATGGAGTTTTTCACCTCTAGGAAATCTTTTGCATCTGTTTTATGGATACCAACTATTTCCTACGTTGGGATTCCATCATCCTCAGCTCCTCTATTTTTTTAACCTTTGTCCACTCTAGATTTATTAGTCATATCTTGCACTATGGGCACAATCTCTGCTGTTAGCTGAGCAATTATTTCGGATTTCATTTTTTCCAGGTCCTCTTCCATTGGCAGTTCAGGGAACCCAGGTGGTTGAGTATCAGATTGTTCCATCTTGTTGCCATTTGGGGTTGCCTTAGGTGACCTGGAAGTCTGGTTTTGGGACTTGTCTTCATGTCTTCTCATTTCAACAGATGCAGCCTTCTCTGCCTTTGTTGAGAGGACATTTTGCTCAGCCAGTGGCCTTCACTTCTCATCAAGTCACAGAGCAGCCTTTACTCTGCTGCTCCGCAGTACACCGATACCTGGGTTGAGATCGTGGCCTTCTGTATGCCTGAGCTCACCCATTGTCTGGGCAGGCGTCATCACACTTGAGATGATAGCTATGTGTGCCTCTTGCTGGGGCCCTAACCCTAACCCTAGGTGAGGGGAGGAGACATCCACACCTCCATATTCATTGCAGCTCTCTTCAAAAAGTGATGAGCTGGAAGAAACCTAAGTGTCCATTAAATAGTGATGGGGCACAATGAAAATGTGATACCTATATACAATGGAATATGATTATCAGAAAAAAGACTTAATCCTATCGCTTATGACAACATAAAAGGAAATGAACAAACTTACGTTATTTGAGACAAACCAGGTACCTAATGCCAGGTACCACATTTTATCAGTCCTATGTAGAATACAAAACTTGGTCTCATGAAGTGAGAATGAAATTGTGATTACCAGATTCCAGGGCAACAGCCAGAGGGAGAGATGAAGAAATGTTGGTCAGTACAAGGGATGCTACAGTTAAATAGGAAAATTGATTTCTGTTGTCCTATCACATAGTAAGGTGATGACGGAAAGGAGTAATGAACTGAAAATTTTAAAAACAGAGAAGGAATTGTGAATGTTTCATCAGGAAGAAATGATTCTTGTTTGAGGAGATAAAATGCTTAATCAAATTTATATAATGTGCGTATGTGTCAAAATATCCGATGGTACAACATTCCATAGAATGGTAATTTTTAGGTACATAAAATTAAATAAAAGAAATGAATTAAAATTTTAAATAAATTTAATTAATGTCATTTAAGTAAATAAAACTGTATTAAAAGGGTGTGGTACTTGCATAAAAATTATATTTTGTGCAATGGAACCCAAATGATAGCAAGAAGCAATGCCATATATACATGGTCAGCTGATCAACACACACACAGAAAGAAGATTCAAAGGATGTTGGCAAAACTGTAAACAAGTGAGAGAATGACATGAGAATCCCCAACTATATCATATTGAAAATCAACTCAGAAAGGATTAAAAAATTAAACATAAGTCCTGATTGTAAAGCCCTAGAATAAATCTTAGGGAAAATTACTGGGACTTTGGGATTTCAATGATTTCTTGGATGTGGAATCAAAGTCAGGCAAATAAGCAAAATTAGAGAAGTGAGAGGCCGTCTCAAATGAAATGCTACTGCACAGCAAGACAAAAATGTAGCAGTGTGAAAAGGCAAAGTACAAAACAGAAGACAATATTTGTTAACCTTAGATCCACTATGGGATTAATAAATAAAATATATAAGAAGCCTTTAAAATTGAATAGCAAAATAAACCTAGTTTATAAATAGATAAAGGACATGAATTTACCTTTCAAAGAAAAAGCAGTCAATAGAATTATAAAAAACATATTCAGTGTCCCTGATCATCAGGGAACTGTAAATCTAATATATTTTAAATGCCTGTAATATACTGAAAATGCGTACTAATAAAAATTTTACTTACAACTTCAAAAATTTTAAACAGAGTCTACAGTTTACCACTCAATAAATGACAGCAAATTGGGCCTTATTCCAGGACATTTACACTTCCAATTATAAAGGAAATCATTAAATTGGTATTTTGGACCAGCAGATAAATGAGGCATATTCCCTTAGGAACATCGTGGGCTTCATCAACAGTGAAATACGTGGATAAAAAAACAACCTCATTTAGACATCTTTACAGTGTATCCAGTCCTGCATTTGCTATACATGGGGTAAGAGAAAACTTCACATGATTTAAATTATATTTTTCAGACAGAACCTAAAGTCTCAATGTTGTCTATTCCACTTTTAGGAACTATTTTTCTACTGAAAACCAAGTACTGTACTAAACGTCTCTTGCCTTTTTCAAATGCGAAATCTAACTTATGTAGAGTTCTGCCTAAGAGCTTAAGCAGACACTCATTGGAAAGAAAGATAATAAAATATTCAATTTTTAGTTGTATAAATAAATAAGATTGTGCTTTGAGAAGTGTATGGTTTAATTTTGGTGGCTGATGAACATAGTAAAAAGTAAGGAGAAATCATGAAAGCTATCGATGCAGAACAATGAAATATATGACATATTCAGTTATGTGGGGTCTTGTAACTTGATTCATAAAGAAAACTGTCAATAATCACTTAAAATTTATATCAGTGATGTTGTCTACTTAATGTACTATTTCTTTTATATTTCTTAAGGTGAAATTATTTCAAAATCTCAAAACACATCAAGACTCATGGTTTGTTTCAATTCCTTGAGAAAACTATGAAGTCATAGTATATCAAAAGAGGGAAAATGGCAAAAGTGCAATATGCTATAATGAAAACTGAAACCTCAGTCTGGACCCAGGAATTATTATTGTCATTATTGATATATTTTATAACACAATCTCACTAGATATTCCACTCCGGCCTTGAACCCATGGAGATTCTTTTGCCTCGGCCTCCTGTGTGCTGAGATTGCAGGCATGTGCCACCAAGCGCATTTCAATTCTGAAATTATTAACCAAGAGACTTTCTGTAAATATGAAATACTACACACAAAATCCATTCTGGTAACAAATTCTCAATGAGTGGCCGTAGTTGTTTCTCGTCTTTTGCAAAATTTAGGGTTTTGGAAATTTTGCAAATTTAGGGTTTCATCATAAAATTCAGGTGGAAATTAAAGGAGTATATCTACATTTGCTGAAGAAATTGATCATGTATTATTCAGTCATAAAGAATCAAAGTCATTTCTACTCTAAACTCTCAAACCTTTGAATATGTGATATTGATTTTATTATAAAAGTAGAACTTTTATATTTTCAGCTAATAGATAAAAACTGCTCTGATAATTTAGCTAAAATCTCTTATTACTCAAAGGAAAGGTAAGCCCCTTATAGTGTAGAAAGCATCATTGTGGTAAATAGTAGGCAAATTTTAAGAAAACCACATATACATATGTATGGCAGAGGAAAAAACTCATAGTTCAAAATGCATTTCATAGAGTTAATCATCTGAAAATAGTAAAGTCAACAAATTTAGCTTTACAATTATAACTTGAGATAGATTCAATTTATAACATAATTTTCTATCAGATGTAAGGGTAATGTTATGAAATAAGTAACAATATTTTAGACTCCAAAGACGACAGGTTAAATCATGCTGCACAACTGGTGACAGATAGAGTGGAGATTCTAGCTGGGTATTCTACCCCAGATACAACAGCTCTGGAAGTAAGGAAGTTTTTGATCACTCACTTTGCATTAATGTGACTTGATACGAAACTGGCTCACATAACTGAGGGGAAATGGATGAGTTCACCTGCTATTGCCATCTGTGGCACTGGTTTACCAGGCCCGTGAGCGCATTTGTTCTGTACTTGGCTGTGCAGTGAAGGACACGAGCACTCTTCTCACCACCTTGTCACTCTACTTCCATCTCTCGCTGGAAATTATATTCTGTCTGCACACACACACACACACACACACACACTCACACACACACTCACACACACAGGTGTATACAGAAACGCTTAGACACAGACCTGCTCATGGTTACAGTGAGGGTCGTTCTCCCCTAGTGACACGAGCTTCCGTTTACGATTGTCTTCAGGTCTGTCCTGGGAGATGTCAGCATGGAGAATTTCACTGAAGTGACCGTATTTGAGTTGAAGGGATTTACGGACAATCCTGAGCTACAGATCATTTGCTTCTTCCTTTTTCTAGCAGTTTACCTTCTTACTCTCATCGGAAATTTAGGGCTGATTGTGCTGGTCATTGAGGATTCCCGGCTGCACAACCCCATGTACTATTTTCTGAGTGTCTTGTCTTCTGTGGATGCCTGGTATTCTTCTGTTATTACCCCAAATATGTTGGTCAATTTCATGTCAAAGAAGAAAGCCATTTCATTCCTTGGGTGCGCAGCACAGATGTTTCTTGCTGTAACGTTCGGGACCACAGAATGTTTCATCTTGGCAGCAATGGCCTATGACCGCTATGTAGCCATCTACAACCCCCTGCTGTACACGGTGAGCATGAGGCCCAGGGTCTATGTGCCACTCATAGCCGCGTCCTACCTCGGGGGGCTTCTGCATGCCACCGTGCACACGGGGGCCACTTTCAGCCTGTCCTTCTGTGGACCTAATGTCATCCAACACATCTTCTGTGACATCCCTGCTCTGTTCGCAGTTTCCTGCTCTGACACTCACAGAAACCAGCTTCTACTATTTTACATTGCGGGCTCCATTGAGATATTCACTGTACTGATCGTCCTGGGATCCTACGGTTTCATTCTGTCAGCTATTCTCAGGACACACTCTGCAGAAGGGAAACGGAAGGCCTTTTCTGCATGTGGCTCTCACCTCACTGCAGTGTCCATTTGCCACGGAACTCTTATTTTCATGTACGTGAGACCGAGTTCCAGCTACGCCTTGGAGAAGGACATGGTGGTGTCCATGTGTTACACCATTGTGATTCCCATGCTGAACCCCATCATCTACAGCTTGAGGAACAAGGATGTCAAGGAAGCAATGCAAAAAGTGTTTGGGAAAAATAGTTCATGAATACAGTACATGTTCACCCTAAAAATTATACTCAAATTAACATTGAGATTCTGCATGTCAGTACAAAGAGAACATGACAATGTTTACTGTACTAATGCCTCACTCCTTTGTGAATACTGAAGATAAAGAACATAACATTGTCCTTGTTGTACTGAAAGCAGAGATGATCTATCATCCATCCGCTTTCACAATGCTCACACCAGGGTGTGTTTGTGTCTCCATACTCAGACGCTGGCAGTGCTGAAATGCACAAGGTGTGCCCAGGGACCTGTGTGCCTGTAACCTTCAGCACGCCGCTTATTACCTTACTTAGCTGCTCTGATTTGTGTTTTAGTTTCCCCTAATCACATCTATAAATAATTCTGAGCATTATCTGCCTGGCTTGATCAAACACTGTAATCAACAGGAAATAAGTACTGCTCCCGGAATCCCAGACCATTTTCCCTAGAGTCCTTAGTACTTCCTTCCAGTTTGAAGCCGTTTCCTTCATTCTCTGCTCTATGCAGCAGCAATTCTTAGCAGACTGCGGTCTTCAGATTCCTGGGGATCACCACTGGGCTGATCAGCAAGGTGAAGCTTTTCCACGTTTAGTATACATCCGCCCAGAGCATGGGCCTAAACCCATCAGCTAAGCTGATAGCTGGGACATTGGTATTTATCAGGACCGTGCTTACACCTGGCCGCAGCAACAAAGCCACAATTCATTTAATGGAACAGAAGTCAGTGCTGGCTTTGTCTCTGCAGACCTGAGTCCTCACCCTGGTTAGGAGCCTTCCCACGCCTTGCCCTCTGCTCAGGGATCCTCTCTGTTTCCTCTCCACCCCTACCCTGCCAGGACGCCTCTGTGCCCTGCTCTGGGAGGAGGGGGTGGGAAATGGCCTCTGCTGGCTGAGATCAGTCTGCTCCGTCTCCTCCTTGTCCTGCACCCCTGCCTCCCTCAGAGATGAAGCCCTGGCATTTTCCCCTTCCCCCTTCATCTTTACTCGTTCCATTTCAATTAGTGTTTTGTGAACTCATCTGTGATTCCCTTTATCCATTCATCATTACGGGGTAACACCCTCAGGACATGGAGCACAACCGCAGGAAGTGTTAAAACGTGATCGGTACATTTCAATACCACTGCAACAGGTCCCAAACACAGAGCCTCTCCCGGCCAAATGTCTGCCTACCGAGTACCATCAAATTATTGTACTGTGTGGCAGGAATTCCTACTTTCAGCTGCTAAAACTCAGTTATGCTTCTTGTGTCTGTGATCTGCATTCAGTCTCCAGTACACACCGGGACCGACCTGGTGTCCATGAGCTCACACAGGTCTGTGTGTGGATGTTACCAAGCATCGAAGAGTTGCTTCAACAGATTTAAATTAGCAATTATAAGGGATTTTTATGCATATTCAAGTTTGCATCAGAAGAATAAATCATAGATGTAGTAAACAACAAGCCACAGACTAGATAATATTTTACACACTTCTAATAAGTTTCTATATTCAGCAAAATAAGATGATGACATATAGCTAAGGCAATTAACACAGGAGAGTTTAGATTACTACCAAACAATATAATAAATTTGAGGATAAGACATTCATAATAAATTAGAAAAATTGCATACATTTCTGAAATCTTACGGAATATATTGTTGATGAATACATGAATTAACAAATAAGTAATTAGACATGGTAGATAGTATTGTTATCAGGTAAATGATTTAAATGGAGAGGACAAGGGTTTATGGAAATGGAAAAGGTTATATAAAAAGTTTCAATAACATTAATATGAATTTTGTGCTATAATAAATAAGAAAGACTGAGGAATATATATATATAATCAATAATAATCTTACATACTAGTCTAATAACTATTCTTCCCGTTTAAGTAAATCCAAGTTTCTATTGCAAATATTTGTCGGGGGTTAGGAAAAGCTGTGGGTTCTTGTATTTCTTAAAAATTGAGTGAGCATCTGACATAAACAATGAAAAGACAAAAGGCTCATTTTGGCACAGTTTTGGTCAGCCGTTCAGTCCATGGTCTACTGACCCATTGCTGTGGACTTCAGCAAGGCAGGAACCTGGTGAAAGCAAGAGCAAGAGACCAGCCGCTCACATCAGAGCAGCCAGGATTCAGAGAGTGAGCTGTCCAGAGAGGACTGGTGGGGACCAGACAGGGTCCTCGAGCTCAGCCCAGGATGCCCTCCCCTCAGGAGGCCCTGCTCCCCTTGTCACCACTTCCAGTGATGCCATCATTGTATTATTAATATAAATAAAAATACTGTTACCATATTGCATGTAATAACCATACTGAATTTTCAAGAATGAACATAATAAACATGAGTAAAATATTCAATTAAAATTTCACCAAAAATCACATAAATATCAGACATGTAAATTAATGTATAAACTCATTGAAATAGATGTACTGAGATGTAATCCATGTGATATATCATCAGATGTTTTAAAAGCAGTGGTTGAAAGCTGGGTGCAGTGGCGCAGGCCTGTGACCCCAGCTCACAGGAGACCAGAGGAGACGGCAGGAAGTCTGAGCCCAGCCTGGCTACACAGTGATTTCATGTCCACCTGGGGTACACAGCGAGACCCTGTTTCAGACAAACAATGGATAAATAAACAACAAGGGAATACACGACAGTCGTTCAAAGCAGTGATCACACCGCAGTGCTGACCAGACCTGAGGTCCAGCCGAGTCTCTCAACTGAGCAGATGCAAATCTCTCAGTACCATCGAAATAGGCTTTATGGGCACCCTGGGAAATAATCAGGAGAAGATACTGTTATGGACACAAAATGGTACCAAGCCTTAAATTCTTTCATCTTATTTCAGTTTTCTTGTTTTCTAATGAATGTGCTACTCCTCTGATATGGTCATACTTTTACTTGGAAAATACTTCAAGGTTAAAATTTTTATTTTTCTATCTTTAATAAGCCAGTCATAAAGTAAATATTTGTCTGGAAATTTCATCTTTACCACCTTAGTAAAAAATAATATCCCGACAGACCGCTATTGAATGTAAACATTGTTCTCTGCAAATGTATACAACTCTGTGTCAATCGAACAGTACATAAACAGGGCTGAGCCACAGTTTAGAGTATCATGGGAGGACATGTTTATGCCCTTCTTCTGGGACTTGCAAGGGAAAAGGTGAAATCCTTTCCTCATTAGCTGCTTGCACTTTTGTCCTTGGGGTCTCGCCCAGCCCAGGGATCTTCCCTGGAAATGGCTCTCTGAGGACGAGGGAGGCAGCGCTGTTCTGAGGGCTCATATGGGAGGCACCTGGGCCATCAGCCTGCTGGACGGAAGGCCTCCCTGCTCTGGTCATGGTCACAGTCGCTCCCTGGGATTCTTTCCAGACCAGATGTTCCGGTAACGCATCCATTTGATCAAGATGGGGAGAAAATTTCTAGAGTGATTTAATTTGCCTGATAGTTGAGAAAGAATGGACAAAAACATCAAAGTAACATATCAGGGAAAGCAAATATCACAGAAAGTGTCAGCTTCTTATATTGTTATATTATTTCTGTAAAAAACTTGACGCTTCAAAATTTCTGGGTGGATAATATTGCATTTATTTTCACAGTAAGTATCACTTTTAAAATTGGAGAGTTTTAAGTCATAAAATGAAATAGGAATTTTATCAGGAGAATATGCAAATATGTTCATGTAAAACATCATAAGCAATATTAGTACAGTATTTAAAAATTGTGAATATAAAGATGGTGGAACCACAGACTGTAACTAATGTGCATATTTTGAAAATCTCTTTGTGGAAGAAATTTGACTTTGAATGATCAAGTTAGGAAAGCACACTGGAACTGGAGTTGCAGAATTGTCTCTCTCCCCTTCCCAAAACTGGGAGAACATTTATTTTGATTGAATTTTTATTTTGATTATTTTATTGAAAGGAAAGCACGTACTCGTAGCCAGCCTCTCACAGCCCCTGGTCTCCGTCTCCCGGGCTCCGGTGCAAGGGCTTCTAAGTCCAGCTCAGGGCCAGCTGCCTTCCACCCAGCTGTGAAGGAGACCCGACCTTGGCCTCCTGCTGTAGGTCCACACCTGCATTTTCCTCTGGGAGGCAGATGGCCTTTGTGGACAGAGCCTGCCTTCCTGTCTGGTCACCTGAGTGGAGGAGGAAGCAGGTGTTCACACTGTACCTGGAGGAGGAAGTAGGAGCAGCAGCCTATCTCTTAGAGCATCTTAGTATCATCTTAGGAGTCATTTTAGCCGTTCAGTTTTGATCTGTTCAGCATGTTAATGTGCCCCACTTAAGTTCCCTAAAAAGTGAAATGTACTTGTAGTTAATGTCAAACGGCATTGGGAACTAAATGAGAATAAATAATACACTTAATTTTTAATCATAATTTTTCATATCCTTTTTCATGTTTGCTAAGACAAGTTATAAACACCGCGAGCACACCCTCCTGAGTTAAAGCCCTTGGAGAGTTTCACAGTGGAGATGTAATTGCTCTGATTTCAGATGTTACTTTCTTTGCCCTTCTTAGTAACTAATAATATTGCATACTAGTAACTATAGCATAAAATTCACATGTGCATTATGTGTGTTAATGCAGAGAAGCATGTAGAATGCTATCAGGTTCATGCTAATTCCATAGATATAAACTCTTATTATATTAATATGAAATGTCACTTTATCCCTAAATCTAAGTGAAAATGGAATTTTTTTCCTTCTTGTTCAGTAAAGTTTTGTCCAATTATCGAAATGCTAAACTAAGAATAGGTAGGCCTAACTACAAGTAGACCATTTGGAGAAAATTTTTTGCCATCAGTCAAGCTAAGTATCACCTTTGACTATTCAACATCAAGACACCATGAGTAGAAGGAACTTTACCGGTGTGGCTGACTTCATCCTCACGGGGCTGACGGACTCAGAAGAGGTGAAGCTGGTCCTCTCCGTGCTCTTCCTCCTGATTTACCTGATCACGGTGCTGGGGAACATGGTGATGATATTGACCATCCGCCTGGATCCCCAGCTCCA